GCAATCCAAGCTGCTGGGCGGGCCGATTGGTCTGCTCAAGTCGTATGCTACACGGTCGGCGCACGAGATTGCCGATGAGGCCGTCAACATTTTCGGCGGCAGAGGACTCACGCAGAGCGGCATGGGACGGGTGATTGAGCAGTTCCACCGCACGTACAAGTTTGATGCCATTTTGGGCGGCACCGAGGAGATTCTGGGCGATCTGGGCGTTCGACAGGCCATGAAGAACTTCCCAAAGAGCATGTTGTAGATGGAGAGAGAAAGAGAGAGAGTGGTAGTTTGGGAACCATGGTTCTAGACAGGCTATGGGCGTGTTACCTTTACATGGTCGACCTTTTGTTGGGTGGCGTAACCCGGGCGAATGAAGAGCGTGTGAGGCGGTGTAATGTATATAATTTAGGGTACCAGCCCCCAAAAAATGGAGGCGTTCGTTGAATGGCACCTGTCAGCAGTGCCACATGCGGAAGGGCAATTTTTTTCTTTTTCTTCTTGGGTTGCAAACCTTAAAAGCTCGAGGGGAAGAGTGGCGTTTGGAAGGATTCTAGAAGCAAAATTGGTAACATTGCAGGTCGAGGGCGATGCATCAAGTGGCTGGGGTGGGGGGGGGAGCCTTGTTGGGGGGGGTCGTGTGTTCGGGTACCAGGGATGGGGTGATGCAGGCCGAGTCCGAGCGGGTGGGTGTGCACAGGCAATGGGGAACGACATGTGTATGTAAGACTATGTGCCTGGCCGATGACAGCATTGGGGCTGGGGGTATGGGTGTGTGTGTGTGTGTGTGTGTGTGTGTGTGGAGGCCGAGCGTACTCCGAAAGCATAGGGCGACGTGCATGTGCGGGTATGTATGTGTGTGTATGTGTATGTAAGTAGGATATATGTACATATGTAGTATGTACGTAGCATAGACGTACACAAGGGCATATAAAGAAGGACATAGTCATCTCAGACGAGATGAGACGGCGGACAAGAGAGGAGAGGTGACATGCAGCGTCGAGCCAATCAGGGGCGCGGGGTGGGTCCGGTGTTGGACGACGAGGCTACGCAGATAGTGGCACACACGGTGTCGAGAGGCCAAGGCTGGACTGCACAGTCCACCGATCGCAAACACTGGCGCAGGCGGGTTCAGGCGCCTCATTCGACATGAGCGGGTGTCGTGGTCGACGTGGTGTTGCTGGTGTGGGTGTTGTTGTCACAGGTACCAGGGGCGGCGAGTGAGTTGAGGCAGGGCGGCGAAACGTGTCACATGCAGAGCAGAGGGCAGGCAAGTCGGGCGAGCACGATGAGTTGTACATGGCTGATGGGATGGAGATGATATGTGTGTGTGCAGTACGTATACCGACATGTGGATCATCATCATGTCTGGACGCGTAGTATTGACTAAGTAGTTGGTGTACATGGTAGATGAATTGCAGACAGACATGGTGACAATGGCGTGCTGGTGGTAGCATGGGCATAGTACCTAAGCAAGTCAATGGGGCCTAGGCATACCGTAGGCATAATCATGGCATATGGGCCAAATCGCCTCACTGGGGCTGGGATGGATAGGGAAGACTATCGAACATGGGCCATGGCCGGCTAGTGGCACCCGCCCTGCATTCGGCGGCGAGGGAGGCGAAAGAGGCGAAAGAGGCGCTGCGAACGCTTGTCGGCTCGAGTCGTGTGTGCAGGCAGAACAGCCCGGTGACAGCATGCATGACCCTCTCGCGAGCCTTTCTTTAAAGAGCCCCGGCCTGCGTCACCTTGCTCCGGCTCGACATGCTCTTCTTTCTCCTCCTCCTCACCTCTTGATCGTCACAACCCTCGACACCGTCTGTCCGTAGATTCGCCGCGCCCACGTCATCACCTCTCGTCGCCTACATCATCCAACCCGTCTTCTTTTCTACTACTCCGTCTCTCCTCCATCTCGCTGCCTCCTCTCTCTCTCTCTCTATATACCGCCACACAGTGCTTCCTCTCCACTACACAACCACAACCATGGCCCGTTCCTCCAGCATCAGCAGCATGAGCTCCTCCAGCTCCGACGCCGAGGAGACGATGCAGATCTTCGTCAAGACCGTGTCCGGCAACAACAGTAAGTTTCCAGCCTCCCCCCGTCGTTCCGATAACCTCGGAACACCACATGCAGCATGCATAACACCCACCCATTCATCTCCACCACCGCTGTCCCAGCACGCCCACTACCAAACAATGCCCGAACAAAGAACTGACATTGTCGCCTCACAGCAATCCCACTCACCATTCCTTCAAATACCTCAATACGCACTCTCCGCTCCCTCCTGGCTCTGCGCACCAACCTGCACAGCCCCTCGGATCTGCGCATAGTCCACGCCGGCAAGCACCTCTCGTCGCCAGAAACCACCCTCTCCGACTACGCCATCGGCCCAAACTCAACCCTGCACCTCGCCCTTCCCCTGCGCGGTGGCATGCCTCCCAAGAAGATCCGCTGCTCCTTCAAGGACTGCAAGGATCGCGCCCAGCCCATTGTCGGCGACTGTGGCTTCTGTACCGGCCACCACTGCAGCAAGCACCGCATGCTCGAGGACCACAAGTGCGAGGGTCTGGAGGACTGCAAGAAGGAGAGCCATTCGCGCAATGCCGATAAGCTCAACAGCGAGCGCACCGTTGCCATCAAGGGTGTCTAAATCACCATCACCGCCTCCACCACCACCACCACCACCACCATCACAACTACTACCACCTTCTCTTTGAGGCGATTTGCGAATCAAGCGAGGAAGCGTGTATACCATGTCGACATGTCTTTAGCCCCCTTTTTTTCCCGAGCGATTTGATGCGTCCTTGCCACTCATCATCTGCAGCTCTACTGTGTTTTGTCTGTTTCCAACTCTCTACCATCTTGCCTTTTGTCTTGCTTTTCCCAATCGTCCTTGGAGAATCTCCATTCACTGCGATATCGGAGGAATGCGATTAGTCATGTTTTTTTCCAAGAATTTTCCTCCTTTTCTCATTCTCGGAGCCATTTGGAGCGTTTCTTCTTCTTTTTTATATCATGGAAGGAGGTTTTCTCTCGTCCCCTTTCTAGCGAGCGAAGGTGTCACTTTTGTTTGGAGTCTTGCTTGCACGCACCAAGGTCTAGCTAGAGTTTGATAATGATAAATACAGTCATAAACTTATTTCAAGTTCAATATGCATACGTCATGTTGGTTTAAACAAGGGTGGTAATGTGTGTTCATGTGGGTCAAGTTACTTGCATCTTCCGACTTGATCTATCCACGGATATAAAGTCACCTCACCGCATCCGTGTCCACCCTCGCTTTACCTACCCTCTCTAACTAGCCCCCTCAACGATCCACTCTTAGTCTCTTTTGAATCTATCGATGACACGCTATTCGACTACCCACTCTACGCGTTCTATCGCATCTTCTAACCTTATCTTTTTACAGATAAAAGTCACCACGCTAGTACTTACATCTACTTGTCTTTTAAACACTCATGTTTACTCTCTTTCTAAGCCCTCGTGTCCACATTGATTTTCACAAGAAGACAAGGAGTATGTATGTTTCTATCAGCAGGATTGGTAGAGAACAAAGATGCGTAAAAGGAAGTTAGGCACGGGACCTTGATACTCTTGAAAGTCATAGAGACGATAAAATTCCGCATCCTACTCTGCTCAAGTCCCATCTACCCCCTCACCCCCCCTCACACGCACCCTCCGCTCAAGCTCCTTACTCCTTACCCCCTTCCTCCATCCCCCATGCACGCCCTCAACCCCCATAAAAACAACCGGCAACAAACTATTCCGCCACCCACACCGCTCGCCCCTCTCTCGCACCACCATACCCAAAAACACACACAGAGCAAGCACCCACACAAGCACCGGCAGCACAGCCCAATACCACATCACCCGCACGTGAATACCTTCTTTCGTCGCCACACCTCTCACCCCTTTATCCCCGGTGCGATAAAAACGGCTCATCGCGCATCGTCTTCGACAGCGCTTTGGCTACGAGATTCACAGCGCACGAGACGCGGTTATCGGGGTATGCGCAGTTTGTTAGATTACCGTGCCATATCGCTGCATAGGGAGGCTGTGTAGCTTGGTTCCTTTGTCCACTGTGGTCTGAGGGATGTCGGATTTGGATCCATGTTGAGATAGATGGAGGTGATGCTGTTTGGGGTGAGATCGTATAAGTCAGTGCCACTGCTCATCATGGCTGTGTAAGTGCCGAGTTGCGAGCCGCCGGGTTCCTTGTAAATATACGTGAGGCTTAGTCCTGATCGCTTCCCGTCTTTAGACTCTTGGAGAGAGAGAGCGTGCATGTGCCTTTGGTGGTGTCGCACGACTTGGATACGAGCGTTGTCGCGTCTTCGCATGAGGCGCACATCCCTATGCTTGCTACCGCCGGCCACGTACAATCGCCTGAACTGCATTCGTGGCGTGGCTGGAACCAGTATTGGTTCGAGTCGGAGCTATATAGCGCTGCGGATGCATTTTACATCATAGCAGGGGAGGCCCAACGCACTTTGTCCTGTCAGTGATACGCCACTAGTCAACAGGGCAAAGGACGGACTGGATTACATTTCGAATACACAATGGTAGAACCTTGGTAGAAAGTATTGTTCGATAAAAAAAAGCCACTTGTGACACATCTGGGACAGGTCTCGTGTAGTAGCTTACGAGATTCTGGATAAAAGGGTCGACACCGATGCTCAAGATGATACCAATTGCCACCCAGGATTGCTAGAAAACTGAGAACCAAAGAAGTATCTGGTCAGTCAATCTGGATCCGAATACAAAACAAAAACAGGCCTCCACTGAACAACCCAAAGGAAAGAAGCAGAACTCACGGAGCCTGACTCTTCATCTTCCAAAGAAGCCGCATACTCCCCCAACGAACCCCTTGACGCAGCATCAAACGTCTCAATATGCAGCAGCGCTCTCGCGCTTCTCGGCCTCGCAAGCCACGCCCACTTCATCTGCCCCAGTCCATTCGACAGCAGCACCAAAAGACACAATCGCGTCAGGCGTCCCTAGCCAGGACACTATAGCATTGACCGAGATGCCTACCTGCCGACACATCAACTTACCGCTAGTAGTAGTCGATCCAGGCGAAACCACGCAATTGCTACTATCTCCAAATGACCACGACGGCAGTGGTTTATCGTTGAGCGAAGCTAGGAGAAGAATCATTGCGGTGAGTGATCTGCCGGAAACTGCGAGACTGATGATTTCACATATTCACCAGTCTGCTGCACGGAGAGACTCGAGGATGGTGTGGTGTCGATCTTGCCATTGTCTCTCTCTGTTCCCTCTTCTTCTTCCTTTTCTTTCATTAGCCTCAGTAAACCAAGCTCGGATACGTGTGAGCAGAGGTGCCATTGCGGTCATGGAAAAGGGAATCAAACAACCCAGGGCGATGAATAGAGGCTGGGAGGGTGGTGCTGTGCTAGATCATTTGCGGGATGCCTGACTCCACTGTGCCATATACTGCGGAATTTCCTGACGCATTAAGAACAGTTTTGGCTGCATCGAGAGGGTGCGACAGGTGGTGTGAATAGATAGATAGTCATTGTCGGCTGCTTTGGTGTTGTTTTTGCGTGTACCTGGTGCACGTGGAAATAGAGTGTAAGAATCGAGTTGAAAAACTTTGGATATCCATAGAATCTCAATAGCCACAGCTTTTACATAAGATAGTGAACGCAAGGGACATATCTACCGACGCGGTCTTATTCGCGTTAGTCTTCAAAGTTAAAAAGCGCCACCCGGTCCCACTGCCAACTCAGGCATGCCTCAGAAATCGACATCCGCGGGAATGTCGCTTCGGCGTTAAAGTCTCACCTGCAAGGAGCAGCAGTGACAAATTTTGTGATTGGTTTACAAAGGTTATTCTGGTATACTTTGAAAGCGACGAGATGGCGCAGCCCATGTTATTTCCACAGGCATTGAATCTATTGTTTGTAGAAGCGAGATTGATTGTCGTGTAAAGGAGCCGGTGTCATATTTGCACATACCCGTGCAGTTGTCTGGGCTGAGCCAACTACAATATTATAACTATGCTACATCCATTCTAGAGGATCGGTTAGTCTATTCCCAGTTGCTTAAGCGGCTTAGGACCCTAGATGCGCTGTCTCAGGGGTGTGGTTTTTTTAACACAATACTGCCGAACCTGTGTAATGCATATTTGGCCTTGGCTGTCTTGGGGTTAAGAGCCATGGCTGCATGAGACGACTCAGGAAGATGGAAATAGATCCATGCTGCAGACATGCTGGCCAGAATACACAACATATCCGCTAGTAAGAGTCATTCCACGATAAGTGTCAGTGAACAAGCTCAGCTATACTGGCTACACGGGGTGGTATTAATAAAAAACTGCAAAAACATCAGGAGAAGAAGGTTCTGCTAAGTTAGAGATGGAAATAGAAAAGAAACCCAATGAAAAAAAGGAGCAGAGATAGAGTAAGGCAATCCCAAGTGAAGAAGCTATTTCTATTACAGCAGACATGAGCGTGTGTGAAGCAATCTACACAGTGAAATTTACAAAAATTGAAAGGTTGCGTATACGTCAAGTGGCCTACATAAAACTACAGTCGAGAGAACATCTTCTGTGTGCTTATCGAGTAGGCAAGCCAATGTTGCCCCCACGGCCCGACGCATCGTTATCCTCATTACATCATCCAACGGACATGAATGACGCCTTGGTAGAACATATCGTTATCAGGCCAAGCATACCTGCTGTAGCCTTTTCGGCAAACTCATGTACGTGACGCGCGTACTGTCATAGTTTGCACACGTTCGTGCGCGGCCGTCTTCTAGACTCAGCAGAGGAAAGAATAGAACACGTAACAGAACGGCAAATGGACGGGGTTCTTTTTGTAGGCGTGACGACAATCATGACGGTGTTTGGTTCTGAGCTTGCTTGTTCCGGTCCTATGCGTATGCACGATAAGAGAAATACCAAGTCGATAACCGAGGCAAAGGATGGAAGATGGAGAGGCAAAAACACACCGGACAAAAAGTAATCCGAAAAGTCGAAGTGGTGTTTTGTTTATCCATGAGCGTGGGTGGGTGTGTTTGGACACACCCTTTCACAAGCGACAATTGTCACGATGGAAGTCGGCCCCCAAAGCCTGCTCAGCCCTGGCTGTGCAAGCCCTCAATTTCCTTTTCTCGAGCTTTTTCATCTCCTTTGCCCTGTAAGGCGCCGGGCGGCTGCTTGGCCATGCATACCGGCGAGCCTATTGATCCTGTTGACAGCCTGAGACGACGTCAGAAGCCCAGTGAAGCGGCTCCGGTGCCCAACGTGCGGGTATACACCCGATGCTTATGCTTGTGCGCATCCCTGCGTCGCATAGTGTTGAATACGACTCGGGTGGAAGCGCCATGGGCAAATGCTGTGCTTTCCGCTCCGCCTCCAGTCAGAGCGTGTTGAGCTATAGCGACCCGATTCGCCGCGCTATCATCGCCACCACCCCCGGCGGTTGCGCTGACATTGATCAGGGATGTGTGCGCTGTCTTGGATCGACAGAGATCCTGAGATGAAGCGCGGCGAATTGGTTCAGCCTTGCTATTTCTTATCGTGAGCTTATGGGCAGCATTTGCGCCCAAGTGGAATTGATTGTTTCCGAGATTCCGCTCCGCCCCTGGCCCCTTCAGTTTGAATCTGCGATTGCATGGGTGCGGAATGGCGCCCAGAGGAAGCGCCTCTAGGTGGGCTGATCTTGACACACAGAATCTGCATGAAGCCCCAAGACTTACCCCTGGCGGCTCCGTGTGGCGTTCCGCTCGTATTTGCCTGTTTTTACTGCTGCGCAATTGGTGGGTTTGCGGATTAGGCTTTAGGCAGCCCTTTCGAGATGCATTCAGAAAATAGGGCCTGGAGATAACTCTGAGGGCGGTGTTTTGTTTTTCGTCGATGTCTTGGCAAGGTCACGTGCGGCCATAGGAGCTACAGCCGATCTCCTGATCAGCAAACTCAGGCGGGAGATTGCCCTGCCTTGATCTGCCTCGCTTTGTGTCCATGACAGACACGAGAACTTTGACCTGAGCTTAATTTTTCGTCTTGAGCTTTGTTCTGGATAGACTCCCTGGCACAGACAGGCACACATTAGCCGCCGTCTGAGAGATCCTTTGGCCAATGCTATAGTTGCATACTTCACAAGAAATTCAAGAGCATAGGCTGCCTAGCTGAGGATCCATCAAAGCCAAATCTCTGACACTGCCTTGTGCAAAGAAACTGGACGAACCCGAACGAGCAATTGAAAACATATGACTGATTCAAACACTCTGAAGCGAAGAACTGCCCGGCGACTGTTACATGACACTTGTACTACCAACGGTCTGGTGCGAACTGTCTGAGGGACCTATCTATCAATGTCAATGGCGCCCCATCCGCCAAATTGAGCGGGCCGCACGTCGAAGATCTCAGACATGAGGATTAGCCTCGCCATCTACTCACCGCCACCCAAGGTTCATGATATCATCTAGGATGCAACTTCTGGGTCCGTGGTCACTTCGCGATAAAGGCGTCAAGACCCCTAATGCCCAGAAGTCCCTTGCCCACGAGACCTACTGTGGAACACCAGTGACGTAGCGAATGGATCCAGAGAGGGCAACCGCATGTGCTTCGCCATCATCCCAAGAGGCTAGTTTGGTTGCGTGGAGGGTGACACGGCCAACTGACCGCTATCACGGCAAGTCCGGCCATTACGAAACAGCACAACGGCCGAATGTGCTAAGATAAAGTTGCTTTCGTAAAACGTGGAGGACGGTTGGCCGGCCGCGGGAGAAGGATTTGCTTGTTCCGGCAATTGGGTCGTGATTCTTGAAGCAGAAGATCTGCAAAAACCTAGGAAGATCTCGGGCTAGTACCAGTCTCCGCGTCACACTGGAAACCGTGCCATGCGCTCGTCTCGAAACAGGATATCCGGCTTGATCGGGGTAGTTTCTAGGCCAAAGTCTCGTGAAGGCGCAATTATCCAGCCAGGACATCCTCACGACTTGGCAACCAGACTCTCCCAGCATAGCGGCGCTGATCTCCAGACTTGCCGTGTCCTTCATCATCTTCCCCATGGCACTCCCCACTCTTTCAGAACGCCCAAGTCCTTTCTCCATACGCCCTCTAACAACATCATGTGGGTCTGGTGCTGCCGGCTAATCGAGGGAAATTGTATATCGCTCAGCTAGTCATTGCAGTGTGCGGTGAAGAGCCCTCTGCAGCTTGCAGTCGCCCGGGCCTAGGTTAGTGAGACACGTACAACGTTTGTTCATGGCCTTGGTATGTCTATCTCTAGGCGATGACTATTTCGTGTTGTTGCGACAGAAAAAACAAATCATCGCCGTGTAGCGTGGGGCGCAAGCCACTTGGGGTTGATGTTTGGCGAAACACCCCTAGACGTCGATCCCTAAGCCTAGTAGCATGCGGTTGTGGCTGTGCTGTAACCAAGTACTAAAGATAACGAAGCAACAGGCTGCGCCGGGCCGCCGATCTTGTTACGCCGCCAGATTTAGTGCGCTTTTTGGGCTGGAAGAGCCACGGACAAACTCCCGCCGTCTTGCTCAGAGGTGTTTCTGGGCATCTCACGGGGGGGG